GATTCCAGTTATCCAGCAGCAGCTTCAGCTGCCCTGCCAGCTGCCCCACGAGATGCCCCACCACAGCTTCCCATGCCGCAGCAGCGGGGTGTGCTCCGTTTTCCTGAGCACCCCGATGGATGGTTCCTCTACCGCTACGTGCCACCAGCCAGCAACTCCCCTCCCAGACTCAGGCTGCTCTCAGAGCTGGCAGGATTGAGCAGCTGGGTTGGGAAGCAGGCAAGGAAAAAGGGCTGGCTCTCAGTGGACAAGCTCCCTCTCCATCTCCACCACACCCTGGCAGGACCTCATAGCCATACCTGGTGTCTGGCACGTATTTCAGGCTGTACACTGGGCGGTTTGAGAATCCACCACATTCCACCTTGAAATCCCTTTCAGGACACAGGCCCTAGAAATCAGAGGCAAAGTCATTTCTTCACACGGAACGTGCAGAGCTTGGTGTGGTCAGTTACCATGAAAAGAGAGAGAGACACAAGACACGCACTCGGTAAAGCTCTTGCCTGTCCAGTAATGCCTGTTTCAACAGGAGCTACAGGACTGAAGGATCCCAAAATAGTTAAGAGGAAAAAAGATGGAGAAAGCTGCTGCCAAGAGCTCCTCCTGGGTTCGTGGCCATCCGTGCAAGTCTGGCTCAGGAGCTTTCTGCTTACCCAGCGACCAAACATCACCTTTTGCTTTAGTGTAGAGGTCACCCACCCAAGAGCCAACCTCACTGGTCAGCAGTGTGGCCCCCCAGGCTCGGATGTCTCAGCAAGTCCCTTCTTCATGTGCCTGGGTGTCCTCACCTGTCCTATTTCCCCACGAAACGCTTTCATTCACACACCTGGAGATGAAGTTTTTGCAGCACAAGCTGCCCACAGAGCAGCACGATTACATGCCTGGCGTGCCAACCTGTGCTACCTCAACCCGACAGCAGCTGGGTGACTTTTACCTGCCAACCAGAGCTGCTCAAGAGTTGGCCAAGCCCTTGCCAAAGCAAGAGAGACCAGGTAACAGCTTGTGAAGCCCAGGCAGCACAGCCCGGTCTCTGAGGCACCAGGGCAAGGAGGACAGAGCGACCTGGTGCCACCCTGGCTGCAACACCCACCTGGGTCTCCTTCACCTGCAGCGTTGGCGGTGGGAGCAGCTGCAGGATCTCGTTCCCACCAGACTGTCCGTACCCGGCTACGCAGACTCCTTGGAGGTGGGGATAAAGAACCAGGCACATGGTGAGGGATGCCCCCCCGCTGCCTGGCCCACCTTCCCTGAGCCAGACCCTCGAGATATAGTCACCCTGGAGCCAGAGGCCCAGCCCAGGCTGAACCCCAGCACAGCCCCCAGCCCAGGCTGAGCTCCAGCACAGCCCCCAGCTCAGGCTGAACCCCAGTACCCCCCCCGCCCGGGCTGAACCCCAGTACAGCC